CTCTTGGATTCCTTGGCCTTGGCCATAGTCTATCAAACATACTCACGCCCGGCGCACTAATATCCCGCCCAGTGCAAAACTCAAACAGAGAGCTACAAAGGTCTCAGCACCCAGCTCAATTCCAAACAGAGACTCCCAATGAGTGTCCACGCTCGGCGTGCTCAGATCACGCCCGGTGCAATATCAGTAACAAAAACACAAGGACGACATCTGATAGTTCGCCCGACACGGTTCTCCCCACGCCCGGCGTGATTCACCTAGGGATTCCCATTTCAAATTGCGCTCGGCGCGACTAACCTCGCGCCCGGCGTGATTTGGCAATGGTGGTCCCTGATGAATTCATGTTCGACGCCAAGAACTGCGCTCGGCGCATTACTACTAGAAACCCTTGAAAACCTCGAAAATTTCTTTCTAACATGAATCCAATTCAAATTACACGAGTTCAAATCATTACAAAGCATAAATACTATCCAAAAACAACATATTTAGCAATGAAATCAAGTCTTAACCACTAATTCGTGGAAATCATGAAGAAACTCCAACCAAAACCCTTTCCCCTCAATCCATTCTTAATCATGCATAAATCATGGAATCAATGTGATATTTCAAACCCATACACACCAGATTAAGTCTTATAAGTACTACCCTTACCTTAGAAACTTCAGAAATGCAAGGTTTGAACAAAACCCTCAAATCCCAACTCAAACTTTAATCCCCCTTTTCAAGGCTTTAGAGGCCAAATCTCTTGAAACTCCAGTTGTGAAGATTGATCCTAGCTTGATAAACTTCCCAAATGTGTCCTCAGCTTCCCTCTGGACCAGAGCCTCTCTCTCTACTTCCTCTCTCTAGAAATTGTCTCTGTGTGACAAATGAGACCCTTTGGTCCTAAGTCCCTATATATAGCCATTTTCCAAAATTTCCAAATTTCACCCTTAGCACCTATTCACCTCAAATATTCTATTACTTGAAGTATTTCAACTCCCTAAGCTCTAAAACAACCTCAAATTCATTTAGAAAGACCAAATTTATCTTATGTTCCTATTCTTCAATCTCCTACCCATCCTATTCCTTTCCATGCAATACTCACAACTCACCACCATATGAAATGCAACATGTATCAACACACAAACAAACATCACTTTTAGATACATATGCTTGGAATAATGAGTTGCATGTCATAATACTTCACTTAACTAAGATGAGAAGGAAGGTGATCAGTCTTCATTCCTCTTAGTACCAATTCAGTAGAATGGTGTACAATGCATCATTCACCACATTCATGATACACATGCCTATATAAACCTCTCATCTCATACTACAAAATCACTACTATGTCCAAACAACTAATCAAAACCACATAATTATACAACATGCACAAAGATAAGTACATTTCAAACCCACACCTCCATAATCCAATCCAAATCCATATAGACAACATATACATACTTACATACATACATATATATATTATAAAGTATATCTATCAAATAGCTCGCTATTTCCATGGCATTACAATAATGAACTTAGAAAATAGATAAATTGAACTAATTTACTTAACACAATGTCTAATAAATAATCACCATTCATGGACAGATTGACAATTGCCTCTACTGCTAATATGGGAACAGTTTCATCATTATCTTTTCTAAGAAGCTTGAGCAAGGAAGTGAGGCCATTAGCTTGAACCATATTTTTTTTTTTGTTAACCTCTACATATTATAATAAATCAAATTATTATACAAAAAAAATTGAATACTCCAAAGAAAAGCAACGAGATTTTTTTAAAACCTATTTTCACTATAACGGTTGGAATTTTAGTTGATTATTATTCTGCAAATCCAAATAAAAAGGTTGAGCGTTGAGCCATTACAAGAAATCAACAAGTAGATGATTTATATTTGTAAACACACTATTAAAAGTCATTTAATTATACAAGTTGCTATCATATTGCCTTAAGTGTAATTAAGAGCCTATATCCATGAGTTTATTGTTCATGTTACTCATGCTTTTACAAAAGTAACTTAAACCTCTTTTAGAAAAAATAGCATTTGTAAAATAAGAAGACATGGGCCAAACTTATTTTCACAGTTGCAATAGATTTTTTAGTTAATTGTGATTCTACAAATCCAAAAAGCAAAAGAAGTGTTAAAATGTACACCTCACAAAGAGTATTTATAGGTACAAGTACAAAAAGCATTAACAAATTACCACAAGTACCAAAGGACATGTGTGGCATTTATGGTGCTTTTTATTGGCCGATATTAGTACCAAAGACCTAATTAAGACATAAGAAAGTAAAATTGTCTTTTACAATCATAATTTGAAAAAAAAATGTATAAAAGCATTTGAATCATACCTATCCAAATGAGCTTCCATTGAACTTTTGAGGCATAGATAGGTCTGTTAGAAAATGTTTATACATAAATTTTCTAATGAAAGATAGTTCTGAAAGTAACGTATCTTGATTTTGTTTCATCAAATTCATCTCTTCATCATGTTTTCCTTTAACATCATCACCTCTTGCTCTAATCTTTGTACTACCTCATTAGATATATTATCAGCAAAAGTACTTCCTATGGAAGATTTAGAACCCCACAACAAATAAGGTGTTGGACCAAGTCCTAAGCCATGAACATAGCCACTTCTTTCAACCCCCAATAATCGGGAATACACATCTCCTTCCCAAGAAACACTACCAATTGGTTTTTCATTAGATGTTTCACCATTTTTCAATTTTTCTTACATCACATCCTATGTAAGAAAGTTTGAAGTCATTGCATACTCAAAATCAATATAAAAATATTCAAAATAATTCAAATGTCATATATAATATATAACAAGTATAAAAATTGCTTAAAAAATATAACCATTATTTTTGCAAACACCTCATCCAATGGTCTTCTATCTTTATATTTCTTATGAGTTAATATAAAGATTTCTATCCATGTAGGCTCTATCCCATCTATGGCCTAATAGGATTAAGTTGATGTCAAATAAATTCTCAAGACAAATGTTATTTATAATGTAACAATATTATAATTTGTAATTTATCCATAAATACCTTTTCAGCCATTAAGGTTCCAATGCTTTTGGATCCTCTAGTGTGAGGCATCTTTTGCACTGTCCTATTATTTCTACTTGCTTGGTTAGACTTCTGTTATTAAAACACACAATAACCATATAATATATTTATAAAAAATAAAGAGAAATAATCTAACTATGTGTTGGTCTCTTCTAAAGTTGTTACCTTTCCTTTATCAGAAAGCCAATAAGAGACAAGACTAGTCCATTGGTCCCTTGGTATACAAGTTCGTCTACTTTTTATTAAGGCATCTCTAATCTTATACCTTGTCATGTACGTACACCTTATTTCACATTTGTAATCTTTCCATTTCTTCCTGATGGAGGCCCATGGGCCAAGGGCCCAACTACTAGGCCTATGCCCAAGAGGATGCATGAAGAATGGGTTAGTGCTCAAGAGAATCCCATAGTACTTTTTAGTTGGGCTTTAACTCAAGCCCATGTAGATTAGGTTTAGGCCCATTGGTCTTGTATTGTGTTTTTGGGCCTTGTATTTTGGCCAAGTAGTTTAGGAATTTCATTTCATTGTAATTTGAATTTAGGTTTAATTAGGTTGTCATGTGCATCTCAATTTACATGTAATTAGCATTACATTTAGAGAGCATTTCGGCCATGTACACTCATGCACATGGGGTGACCGAAATTACTCTTAAATGCATGCTAAATCACATGCAAATTAAGTAGCACATGGGGTGACCGGTCTTGGCACCAAAATTTGAATTTAAACATTCAAATTTTGGCGCCTAAGGTTAGCTAAACCATACCATGGTTTAACTTAACCTTAGGTTAAGCCTAACTTGTCCCACACACTTCTTAACCTATATATTTTCTTAGGTCCGTGTAATTTGACTGACTTTGGCATTTATGAGATTTTCATTCATTGAAGAAACTCTCTCACCGAAGTCACCTTAGGAGAAACCCTTCTCCACTTCTAGTTGATCCTTTCTCTTCTATCCGAGACTTGTGGATCAACTTAGGCTACATTTACTTCTCCACTTTTGCTTCAAGTCCTTGCGCCATTCTCAAGGATCCGTGGAGGAGTTGTGATCAAGAATCCATGGAGTTTTCCTTATAAAGGCTCCATCACTTCCCAAGTGATTTTTTTACAAAATCTTCACCATGTGCGAGGATTGAGAATTTCTTCTACATAAATAACACACAAGTAGTTACAAGATTATACAAAACAAGTTAAAAATAAAATAAAATAAAATTAGATTAACAACTAATGAGAATAGTTATTTCATACTCTCACAAGCTCCACCAATTTCTTTTTCTTATCTCGATCAAAACTTCTCCAGTCATTTATGTTTAAAGGTGTTAATTTTGGGTTTCTAGCTATAATGCCAGGAAAGTTAGCATGCTTTCAACCCTCCTTTTTCTATGGCTTGGATACAGTTATTGAATTGGACATCAGTTGTCTTCTCGTGAGCCATATTCCATATATCTTTTAATAAAGTAGGCCCACGAACCTTCCTTTCCTCTAAAGAACCTAAAATAAAAGTATTTAAATGTCATGACTTAACTAAAGAAAATCAATATTATAAAACAATTATTCATTACAATAATTTCACCTGATTCATCATTTTGCTCAACATCAATGCTATTTGATTTTTTCAATTCATTTGACTTGGGTTCACAACAATTTAGGGTGTTCATTAATTGCTCTATATAAGGCTCCACTTCATAACAATGTCTATCTACAAGTATAAGATTGTTTTTTTAGGTATTATGATATAAAAATGTATTCCATGTAAATGAAAAATAATAGACCATATTTGTTTTACAAGAACAAAGTTAGTATATATCAAAATTGATATGTATATAACTTGCCAAAATGAATGTTGCAACAACCAAAGTTATTTTCCAATTAGATGTGACCTATAAAAAATTAAGATAACTATATGTTAAATAACATATAATCAATTAAAGAATGGATTAAATAAAAAATAAATGATAACATTAATATATAAGGACAAAAATATAACAAATATATAATGATAGTAATACCTATATTATTCAGAATCACTATCAGATTCACTATCACTCCTTCCTTTATTTTTGTCTTCAACCTCATTTGAAGGTTAGGATGTACACCTATTTCAAGTATTGTCCCATCAACTCCATTTCTTACCCAATCATATTATCATGTTCTAAGTCACAATTTTTTTCAACAAAAGCCAAGTCATCAACATCATTATGCATTGATAACTCAAACATTATACTCTTTTTATGCCCCATGTCAAAAATTTCTCGATGTTTTGTTTTCCTAGGAATAGACCATTGTTGATCATAAGGATCTTGAACAAATATTACTTGTTGAGCTTGGCCTGCAAATACAAAAGGTTCATGACGTTCCCGATCACCTATGTTTATTAAGTGTGAGAAGTTCACAAGTGTGAAACTGAAGCCATCTTCCTTGACAGCCATCTTCCTTGACTCCTCTACCTTGAGTTACATCAACACAATCACATCTAAATAAAACAACCTTAAATTCTTCAAAGTAATTCAACTCCACAATATCATTCAATCTGCCATAATAAGTGATATCTACGAACTTTAGAGCATTATCACTTGTACTTGCATAACTCTGTGTCTTTGAAACAACCATGGCACCACTATTTTGTGTCTCCATGCCCTCTTCATATTGTTTTGTTAAAAAATGATACCCATTATTTAGATCAAATGCTTTGAATCTTGTGCAAGGGCTTTTAGCTCATTTTGGACATTAGATACGAGCTCTAACTCCTTAACCTTGATGCTCGATCTCATTTTTACTCTTTCTTGACCAATAATGCCTTGAATATCCATCCTCTAAATATTAAGAGCAAAATGTCAAAAACTCATTTGCGAGATAAGCTTCTACTATTGAACCTTCTGGACATGCATGATTACAAACATATGATTTTAAAGTACACAAGTATCTATGGCATAAAATAATGTTAGTAGCCTACAATTTAAAATATAATTGTATGCTACTAACATTATTTGATGTGATTCTTCCTACCTTTCAATTGGGTACGTCCATCAATAATGTACTAGCCATGCAATTTTTGCATCAATTAACAAGTGAATAACAAAATATACCATAATTGTAAAAATAAGATAGAAGGAAAATTTCTCCATATTACATAGTGTTAGTGCAATTTTTTCTTCAATAAGTTCAACTCTTCCATTTTGAGTACTTTATTGCAAAGCAACTAAAAAAATGTGCACAGTTCAATCAAAATAGAACTCACCTTTTGATCTATTGTTCCTCGCAAAGTTAGAGGAAGAAGTTCTTGCATTAGGACATGGCAATCATGAGTTTTCAAACCTGAAATTTTTCGTTTATGAATGCAATGTGAGATTTTAGATGCATAGTCATGTGGAAACTTAGCATTTTGAAGTACTTCAAAGAAGAACTTCTTTTCCTCCAATGACATTGTAAAATAAGTAGGGGGTAAAGATATCTTCTCGTTAGCTCGTTGCTGAGGCCATAGGCTTTGTCTTATGTTCATATCTTTCAAGTCCAACCGAGCTTTCAAGTTATCTTTTGACTTTTTACCAAGTCCCAACAATGTATAAATCACATTATGACACACATTTTTTCTATGTGCATCACATCAAGGTTATGACGCACCAAATTATACTTCCAATAAGGCAAATTGAAGAAAATACTTTTCTTTATCCATGTGTTCTTCATTACCCCAATTACCCTTTCACTCAACCTACCAAGAGTGAACTTTATGCCTTTAACTTGATTTAGTACCATAGACCCTGATGTTTGACAGGTGCAGGTTGAGATTCTTTAGTCCCACCAAATGACTTTGCATCGTTCCAAAATTTATGCCTTGGTCTCAAGAAGCGTCAATGGACCATATAGCAAAACCTTTTACCATGTTTAAGTCTTCTAGATTGAGTATGTATGTTGCAACAAGGACATGCAAATTTTCATAAGTACACCAACCGAATAAAGTACCATATGCTGGAAAATCATTTATAGTCTATGAGAGCAACTCACATTTGATCATTCATTAACATCTTTATCAGTGAATTCATTCCTGAAAAGCATACAATCATTTGGACAAAGATGGATCTTTTCATACTTTTTCATACTTTAAGCCTAATCCCTCAACTATCTTTTTTGTCTCATAATATGGAGGTAATTTTTCTCCCTCGGGTAATGCTTCCTTTAATAGTCCAAGCAAAGAATTAAAAGACTCATTTGTCCATTTGAACATCCACTTTATATGGTAAAGATGCAGTAAAGAAGAAAGTTTGTTGAATTTCTTGCACCCAGAATATAGCTTTTCGTCTGCATCCTTCATTAGCTATTCAAACTTCTCCATAGTTGGATGGGATTGATTTGTTGATTAATGAGGAATGTTTTCTCCTAAGCCTGGTTAAATATCATCCCCTTCACTAATGTTATTGAATTGAGTAGAGCCTCCAAAAGCATCATGTATCATTCTTATCATATCATCACTATGAAAAGCTTCATCTTTGCAATTGTTGTTTTTGACACAATTTGGCACATTTATTGACTCCCCGTGACAAAATTAGGTACCATACGATGTCATAATACCATTCACCACAAGGTGCTCACAAGCTACGACGCGATTTACTGAATAGTATAGAACACATTCTTTACAAGGGCATTGAATTGTTTCTCCATGTTCTTGAGAAAAATGCATAGTCTAAAAAGTTCTCTACTCCCTCCAAATATTCTTTACTAACTCTATCACACTCCATCCACCTTTTGTTATGAGGGTTATCTATGACTATTCAAAAAATTTGTATTTATATGAGTATTGTGATAATTGAAGCTTTGTATGTAAAAAAGAAAAGGCAAGATATGTGTTAAAGAATCACTATGATATAAATACACACCAGTGGCAAAGCCAGGATATAAAGTTAAGGGGGGCCAAACATGAACATAATTTTTTTAGTATATACTCCCTTTGGTTCATTTTATAAGATACTCTTAACTGAATTACACATATTAATAAAAATAATAAAAGTTGGTTAAATTTATTGGAATTTTTATAAAAAAATAGTTCAATTACACATATCGAGAGAAATGTGGGATGTAATGAGTGATGTGATGGAAAGAGACAGAAAAAACATATGTTGAATAAATTATTGTATTTTTATTGTATGAATTTGATATCTCTTTATTATTTAAGAGAAGGACTAAAACCTTTCTCTTTTTTATTCTAGTGTAGGTAGATTGATTTTAAAAGGAATTAACTTTGAAAGAATATTGAAACAATAATATTAAAATTAATTCGTGTTCACTTTTTTAAAATAATAGCTAATTTTTATATAAATAATTTATATAAATAAAATGAAATTATTTTTTTGATAATGAAAATAAAAATTATTTTAAAAATTCTACGAACTACAAAAGCAAATTATATGTTATTTTCTTCTTATTGGATTTTTAAATAGAAAAAAAAAACAAAATTTGTTGAAACTTGGAAGAATTAATAATAGTTGTGTGGTGTAAAATGTAAATATAGATCGTGTATGTTCGATCTAGCTATAACCTGTAGTATGAATCATGAAAAAGCAGGACAAGCTTTGATCGGAAACTATAGAATGAGATTACAACATTATCTCTAACACCAGATGTACTATCCAAGTTTCACATAATAGAACCAGTAACTGCTAGTTGAAATGGATAATCTCTACTCAAAGTAAGATTCTACATCTATATGACTATTCAAAATTTTCCAGTTTTCGATTTTAGGATACTCTTCAAAAAAAAGCCAATTGACCAAGACAAACATGCAATGGTAATGCAAACACCCCACTACTCCCAAGTCAATCTCTTAGTATTGGCGTACATATGCAAAAACTCAATATATATATATATAT